AGCAATAATTACCATTACAGCAGCACAGGGGCGAAGAGCTGCAGGAAGGAGGGGCTGATGGCGCTCCAATAGAAACTTCCAAGTCTCCTCTTTAATTGGAACATGGAGATTCAACAGATCAGATTCCCTGAAACGTGTCTGCATGTCTTGCCGCAATATTCAGCTTTTCTAAGGATTTCACCTAAAATTAACTTTCTTTCCAGATATGTTTGTTTTCCCTGCTGCCGACGCCTTACGGCTCATTTTAAATCTCTTCCAAAAATTGGACTTACAGTACATCTTAATCTAAAGCTATGCTGCACAACTCACTGAGCAACAGTTATTTCAATGTGCAGCACCTGAGCTAAAATGCCCTCCAAATACAAAACTTGGATGGCAGCACATAATGCTGGAGCAAATACGCTTGCATTTGTACGCAGCAACCCCTATTTTACTTATTTGTACAACCATCTCTCCTCCTCAAGTCTTAGAGACTCCGATTTTTAGATCTCGAGACCATTTTTTAAATAAGTGTGCACAACCAGAGTTCAGTCAGACTGAATGAAGATCATTTGTAAACAGCAATATTTTTAATTACATCTGAACTTTGACTGGGGCATTGTGCAATGAGAATATGTGTTCAGGGTCCCTGTTCCCTTGTGTCAAGTCTTCGAATGCCTCAAATAGATGGCCCTGTGTTTAACTCCACCTAGCTTCCTAACAAACGTGACCATGTTCCTTGTTCCTGGTAAAAAAACAAACAAACAAACAAAAAAAAAAACGAACTCTGTACGTGTCTGTATTGTATGTGTGTGTGTGAGGGTGTGTGCAAGTTTGTGCAGTTTGCAGTCAAATCCATAGCAAAGCACCCAACAAAGCCTTCAATTTATAACAGAGAAAAAAAAAATCTATAATTTTGCTCCATGTGAGCAAGAGAATATATCGCCTAAATGACACCAAAAAAAAATAGTGAAGGTAATCTGAAACAGCTGCAAGAGACCAAAATACATGCAATAATTATGTTTACCAGTGTTTGCTTTTGCTGATAAAATTTAATTTTTTCAGTCTCCACCTTATAACGCTTTAACGAGCTTGTAAGGGAGGGTCTATCGGAGAGTTTTGGATCTATTGTTTCTGCGAGTTGTGTTAAATATTCAGTATGTTATGTGGATTTCAAAGGTGTTTGCTGCATTATTAATGAGACAGCCAGATTGCAAGGCGATGGTGTGAGAGCTATAATAATGTCAGAAAGTCTGGTTTGAGATGCTCTGACTAAAACCCATCATCTTCTCTGCTCTGCTGTTTCCTATTCCCTTGAAGATGCCTAATTAAATACATCGTCACACTGTGATATTTATCTATTTGTGGATTTAGCCCGTTTTCTCGGATAAATCACTTCCTCTGTGTAAAAACCACTGACATGTAATAAAATGAAGCAAAGCTTAAGGAATTACATTAATCTAGACGTCAGATGACCTGATATTACGCTCGCGTCCAAAACAAACACTTCATCACGCTTAACTAATGCTGTTTGATGTAGATTATTTTTTCTAAAACTGCAGCCACACCTTATACACACACGGCCGAAAAGATGAAATCCCCGTTTCTCATGCTGTTGCAGTTTTCATGACTAAATATCTTCACACAGCTTAGTGTTAATTGGCCCATCATGGTCTTATTTCTCTCTGGCCTCGGTTTTATTTGGTTTATATGAGCGTGCCTGTAATAAAGCTTTAACGCTTTACCGTGGGGAGATTATCTGACCATGCTACAGCGGTGGACATTATCACTCAACTACATGCATCGCTTCGTCTTCGCTCATTGGTCAGAATAGCGGTTGGGGAGCTCGCCACAAGAGCTGCTTTGTAAACTGTATCTGTGCCTGCGAACGCGTCTGTTTTCCCGTGCACTTCGGCGCGTGCAAACAGTGTGCGTTTGTGCGCGTCTGCGCCTGGCTTGTTCTCGTTTCGTCTCACTGACTGTGTCTGCAGTGTGTTAGATGATGTGAGACGTAGCGCGTTGTGTGCTTGTGCGGGCGTGCTGCTAGAATTTGTATGTGGTGTTTGTCGGCAGGGCGCGCAGGCTCGTAGAATGACATTTGGTGAAACGTGGCGGCGGGAGAGGAAACATCTGACTCATAATTGAAGTGCCATGAAAGAAATATGGTCATGAATCTGTATTAGGCTTATGTGCTCAGCTTTAAAGCAGTGGCAGGAGCAGGAGGCAGCATGCTCAGCCTGACTACCTTCCCACCCTGAAGGCTGATTACAACGCTCAAAAGGATACTCCACAAAAATGACAGAGGAAAACACAGCGTATTCAAGGCGAGGAGTCCTGATGACAAAATCGATAGGCCGTAGCGCTCTCATCTCCATCAAAAAGAGAGTCTCGGGATGAATGTAGCTGTGCTTCTGTGATTCACCCACAGCAATCATCTCAATGTCCTGAAGGATAAAGCAGCACTCCTCCGTCACCCTCCTGCTACTCACATGTTCAGCCCTCCGTGCTGAAGGCTGAGGCAGTCTGCTCTTTGAACAGAAGAAGTAGAGGTATCCCATATCGCGGCTTGTTTCCAGAAAATAAATTGCTACCGATGAAAAGTTTATGTGTCAGTTCAGAGAGCGCTGGCCCTTTAAAGGAATCATTGTTACAACTGTAATTATCTTTAGTCAAAAACAGACGAGCCTAATAAAGCATGAGTATTTTGAACAATAGTGTAAGGTACAGATTAACATTGTCTGTTTTCCATTACAGAAGTCAGCAACTATGATTTTGATTGCAAATATTTAAAATGATAATGATTCCAGTTTATTCTTTTTTTTTAAGAATTACACTTGTAGCAAATTAAACTATAAATGAAGTGATTAAATCAGACATGCTGATGATTACATATTAAATGAAAAAAGTATTTTTTTTACAATGCTTTTAAAAAGAATATAAACTATAAAATGTGTGACACACAACTGTAGACAATGACATAGAAATAATACATGTATAAAAATCTTATTTAGAAATTCTTATTTGCCTTTTAGACAATACAATAAGCAATACACCAGAATACTTATCACTCTTCTATCTTGTAACAGACTCAGAAACTGAAAAAAATGTTTTAAAAATCCAGAATATTCCAGATTCTTCAAGATATTGAAGGAACGATTAGAACCAGAGCTTGGCTACCATACAGGTTGCCGAGTTCAAAGTGTCTTAGTTAAGGATTGTAAAGTTATTTAAGATTGTAAGTTGCTTATAGTTCATAATTATTTCACAGTGGTTCAGCTGATATCCTGTGATTTGCAGATTTATAGGGTTATGCAGTATACTGTGTTGTTTTGCAAAGTGTAATGAGGCGAAGCTATAAGCACATAGGATGACAGCTGGTTTAGTTTGTGGGGTTTCTATAGAAAAATGAATAGAGCAACACTAAATTCTTAATTCAGAAGCTCAATAATAAAAGCTGAGCCTTCATATCGCAACTTTTAATGTCACTGATCGTGTTAAATCTACTTATTTTATGCACTCTGTTAAATTTCACATTATGGTTTCTTTTACCACCATAGCAAACATTATACAGGAGTCTTGGTCAGGTGTAGTTTATGCTTTTTAGCACAATTTACATAAATAAACAGGTAAAGCATGTGTAGGTTTCCAAAGCCACTAATGGCATTTATACTTTCGTGAAGGTCATTTTTGTTTTTTGGTTTTTTTTAATCAGGGAGTTAGTCTGACAAAAAAAAAAAAAAAAAAACACTTTTTCTTTTCAAAGTAATTATTTCACCTCTTATCTCCATCTCCTGTTTAAAGTCATTGCTTCTCTGTGCAGAAATCTGTGCCAATGCAACTGTGATGATGTTTACATAACGATACTTGCATAATTCGCAAAAAAAAAATAATTAAAAATGAGACTGAATTTCTTTTAAGACTGTAAAAGCTGCCCAAATAATTTATAATCAGTGAATATACTATGAGAGTTATCCGTTGAAAGTAAATAACATCTGATTATAATGTTTCATCAAAACATTACTTCAATAATTTCACACTATTTCTTTTAGCATGGTGATGAATAACTTGATATTCACTGTAAAGGCTGAGTAACTGGGAAACCCCCGGAAAATGTGACAGTACCGAAAAGTAGACAAACAAATAGGCTCTTTGGTGTTCTCACAAGACTTCCAGTCTATTTAAAGAGAACATAGCGACGACCGACACACTTTATATTAACAGCCAGCAACAAATTAGGTGAAATCTGAGGCAATATTTCAACAAGCAAACAGCAGGGAGATTTGATTTTCCATTCAAACGGTTTGTCTATAACCACTTTAAATGTGAAAAATATACGTGGATGGAGATCAATTCTGTCCCAGAGATGGATGGAAAAGGTACAAAGCTTGGGTTGTGCACTAACAAACTCCATTTTGTGCTGCTTTAGCTGTTTCCATGGAGCTCTCAGTCGCTCTCTTTCACCGTCTCTCTCTCTCTCTCTCTCGCACGCTTTTTTTTCTCTCTGCCCTCCTCAGACCACACAGACATACACACACACACCTACACACACACACGCACACACACACACACACACACACACACACACACACACACAAGTGTCTGAAAGGGGATTCATCGGTGTGAGTTTGTCTGCAACCGACTGCAACTCAGGAAGATCCTCTCTTACCACTAACAAACCCTTTTTCTCTCCTCTGTCTCCCCTGCATCACACCCATCTCATCATTTCTCTGTCTCATTACAATAATTTCCTAATTTATTCCAAATCCCAGCCACAACAACAAACCCACACTCAGCCGACTCAATTACAGCAATTTGATCCACAACCAGACTGCATGCAAGCACCACATCAACACGGAGCATAAAGGACAGTCCATATTTTTTACAGTTGCGCTTGTGTTTTTCATTAGGCCTCATTTAGAGTGTGTGAGGCAATCAGCAGCGCTCATTACACCCAGATGCCCTATAAAGATGCCCCAGAAAAATGCCCTTGAAGAAAAAGGAAAAACAAAAAAAAAAAAAAAAAAAAAAAAAAAACATTAGAAAGTATGCTTACCGAGGACTCCAACCCGATAGTTGAGAGTGATAACGATGACGTTTCCGTAGCTGGCCAGGACGCTCCCATCAATCATGTTGCCAGTCCCCTCCATGTAGGATCCTCCGTGGATGTAGACCATCACAGGCTTGGCCCCGGTATCTCGTATGTCTGCAAGAGCGGCCATCATTAACATATTCACATAGTCATCCGCCCGCCGCGGTCAAAGGGTCAGCTCAGATTCAGATACAGCACATGGTGGGCACAAACAAACAAACTGACAACCCCCTCCCAGATACCAGCTGGAATCAAACGGTGCAGCCTGCTGGCCCGCTAATGGGAACTGGTGCAATATTTCTCCACCGTTTCTGCTCTAAGAAAAACAAATTAAGCTCACTTGAGTTGAACTCTGTCGCTATACATCCGTATACATGCTTGTATAGTGCTTTGCAAAATGCTACTTCTGGAGCAAATGACGCAAGACTACCCTGAAGAGACGATGAAACATGGTGGACTCGGCATCATGCTGTGGAGACAGACGCCTTTGCTTTATGCAGGAAGCCGAACAGAGATGAAGATCAACTGAGTCAGACTCAGAGTGGTCCACAAAGAAACCCTTTGGAAAGCTGGAGAAGATTTGAGACTGTGGTAGAGATTCATCTTCAAGCAGCACATTGACCCCAAAACATAGTACCGTAGTTACAATGAAGTAAATTACCATATTTTCCGAACTATAGAGCGCACCTCACTATAAGCCGCGCCTACAATATATATATATTTTTTGGGGGGGTGGGGGTGAGGATGGAAACATACATATATAAGCCGCTGGTATCTCCACCACTCTCCGTTTTAATAAATCTGCTGGATTTATTAAGGACGCAGCCCTCCTATGGATTCGTTCATGCAGAGTTTACTTGCAGCGGCTCTATTTCCCTCCTTTACTGTCAGATCAATAGCCCTCAACTTAAAAGCGGAATCATTTGAGTTTGAAGAAATTTCTCCGTTGTACCTGCTGTTAGCATGTGCTTGTTCTAAATGAAAATTAGCACTTTCTTCTTTGATTTCCAATTTTGACTTCCAATGATTCACTTCCTGCTCAAGCGCCCCCTGGCGGTTGAAGAAAAATCCACAGAAAAGCCACACCGGGCTACAAGCTGCATGGTTCAAAGCGTGGGGAAAAAAGTAGCGGCTTATAGTCCGAAAAATATGGTAGATCTAAATATATTCACGATTAAGAAAGGCTTGCTCAAAGACCAGACCTAAATCAAATAGCAAGACCAGAAAGTATATTGTTATAAACAATGTCCATTCAATCCAACTGAGCTCGGGGTATTTTGCAAGTAGAATTGACTAAATGTATCTCTCAATGTGCAATGATGGTTGAAACTTGTCCAAATAGACTTAAAGATCTAATTACAGTTGATTGTTTTGCTCCAGAGTCTAAAGACAAATGCAGGTCACACTCTTCTGAATGTTTGTGGTCATAAAATTCCAAAATGAGAAAAAGTTGAAGTTATATTAATACTTTTGCAAAGCACTATATATATGGCAAACTATTAGCTTGTATCCGGCTACCTTGCAGGAGCAGAGCCACTACTTTATATAAACATACAGAAAACCATTAGGGGGAATAAAGAGATAGGTCCTCTGACAAATCTCCTAAGCAAGGAGAAGGCTAATCTGGCCTGACAGTGATGGGGGGAAAACACATAAGCTCATTACACACAGCTATCTTGCACCTCCTTTTTTTTTTTTTTTTTTACACAGTCCCAAAACGTAACGGCAAATTGTTTGCATAGTTCCTGTCTGGACATATGAGGGCAAGCTCCATTTTCTGCTTCATCTTTTGGTAACGGTTGTTTGTTTTGCTTCCAAAGCGGAGGTTCTGATACCCAACTGGGGTGACAGTCAAGCCAGAAAGACACAGCACATCCAGGGGAGGAGCAGGAGAAAAAAAGCCTCTGTCTAAGGAACAGACTTGAATTACTGACCGGCTAACTGGAGCTGGGAGACAAGACAAGTAACTCTCATTTTCACTCCTTCTACCCCCAACGTTTCGGTGTAGCTTCTTGCCTCCGCCCCTCTTCCCCTCCCACTTTGTATCACTTTGACTCACGGTCTCTCCCCCTGTTTCTCCCCTGCCTTCCCTCCATTTCGGTTTCCAACCCTCCCCCCTTTTTTTTTTTTTTTTTTTTGCAGTGGTGAGAATGAGAAGGGGTAGGAGGGCAGAGTGATGAAGACAGAAGGAGAGCAGAATAAAAAAGACAGCCAGAAAAGAAGGAAATTGAAAAAAGGAGAACAGTAAAAAAAAAAAAAGAAAGAAAGGAGGAATGACTCAGATTTAAATCGAATGGCATTGTATTCCGGTTGCTCTGGTTACAGAAAACCAAAATCCTCAGCTATCTTGTTCAGAATAGCCTGAATCAATCTTCAAGCACTCCTGATCATTATACAACCCCCCGTCTCCTCTGCTAATTTCAGACAACTGCAGAAATGCTTTATGGAGGGAAGCATTTTTTTTTTTTTCCTTGAGCATTGCAGGGCTAAATCTTGTTTTCTCCCTTCCTTATTTTACTATCCCCTGGGTTATTTGTGGCTCTGTTAGGATTAAAAGCAAAGCAGTAACTTGTATATGATGTGGACTTATTTATGGCTACCTCTATCTTGCTGGTATCTGAGAAGGCTACACGGTGAAATGTGATTTATAGCTGACACTTCTCTGGACACACTTATCTGAGACAAGTGGAGGAGGAGAGAGAAGGAGAGGGGCAGGGAGGGAGGTGGATCCATGAGGTGAGAAAAAGCATTAAAACTGCAGTCAGAGAGGGGAGAAAGAACCGAGAGATGAGGTGAGGAGGAACGAGGGAGCAGCAGGACGGTGTTCTCCACAAGCTAATCAAACAAAAGGCCCACAGATACAAAGAGGATGGCAGAGAGGTAGAAGGAACAGGGAGCAGAAATAAGAAGAAAAAAAAGAGAGATTAGTCGTGTCAATGTTATCAGTCACCTCTTTTGTTGGTTCACATTGGGTCTCCGTTTGGAGACGTTTCCACTTATTCTAATCTATTTACTAAGTCGATCTGACATGGGAAGTGTCACAGATATGATCCAAATATTTGATTTTGTTCTAAGAGGAATATATACACGTATACAGGATCTCACCTAAATTGTTGCTTTGCAGAGAAAATAAGATAAGACATTTTTTGTTGTTTTTTTTGTTTTGTTTTGTTTTTGGAGGGGGGTGGAGGGTAGGTTTCCCAGTCACATCTGCTTTACAGAAAAAAAAAAGTATTATTTCATTTTGATCACTTATAGTGGTGTTCTTCTGTATGGCCAAATCTGCTGAACAAGGTGACGTAGCTGTTTTGAGCAGAAAGTATCCTGAGTCAAGGTAAGCACATCGTTACATTAATTCATTTTATTATTAGCATCAAGATTCAGTACCAAGCTTTGGCTGAAAAAAAGGAGAGATAAATTAATTAATGCACAGAGTGATGTACATATATACATTGGCTGTTTAGCGGTATCAGGGTACGCCTGGGTTTTAAAAAGTTGTGGTTCTAAAACTGCGAAAATTTTACGTCCTTTTCCAGTTATTTAAAAATGTTTTTATGAGATTACAAAAAATCTCATAGATTACAAAAAAAAACTTCCAGACAGC